ATGTGTGACGATGGGGGGGGGGGGGGTGAGAAATGTGACGTCACATCAAAATGCGCAACTTTAAATAAATATAGACAACACGTTCTACTTAATTAAATAGACTTTTTAATAAATGTTTTCTCCTACATCAGTGCAGCGCCACATTAAATACGCACTACAATGACAATAGTTTAAAGCGATTTGAAGCTTGCTTTATTTTCAAAATGGAAATATGGTTTGGGGGGGGGGGGCAGAGCTTTGTGACGTCATATTTGAGGGGGGGGGTCTGACTTTTTGTGACGCCGTGTGACGAAAGGGGGGGTAAAAAATCGTCCAAAATCGCGTGACGTCATTTATTGACGACCCCTAATTAACACTGGCGTATAACGGAAACATATAATGTACTGACCTAGGAATATAGTTATATATCTAGATCACAATTACTGTATATACATTCTTCCCCAAAGTTTAATTTTTTTTTCTAATATTTTTGTCTTATTGTTTTTCCTGTGACCAGCTGATTATTTTTCGATTGCTGTTATGACTGAGCCATTTCCACTTCGGTTAAGAGGTAAATATATAAAGGTGCAGCCCTGAAATAACTCGCTCACACCACTGTTGGCAGAAGGGCTCCCACTAGAGGGAGGTATATAGAGTACTGTATTTGGCCTACTCCTCCATGCTGGCTTGAGATCTTGTAAGAGATGGGAGCACCCACACGTTAGGGGCCGTCCATAAATCACGTCACGCGATTTTGGACGATTTTTGACCCCCACCTCGTCACACGGCGTCACATAAAGTCAGACCCCCCCCCCCCCTCAAATATGACGTCACAAAGCTCTGCTCCCCTCCCCCCCCAAAAAAACATGCTTCAAATCGCTTTAAACTATTGTCATTGTAGTGCTAATTTAATGTGGCGCTGCACTCTGATGTTGTAGGAGAAAACATTTATTTAAAAAGTCTATTTAATTAAGTAGAACGTGTTGTCTATATTTATTTAAAGTTGCGCATTTTTACGTGACGTCACATTCTAAACCCCCCCCCCCCCCCCATCGTCACACGTCGTCACAAATGTCTGACCCCCCTCGCCCCTAGGTGCGTGACGTCATGTATGGACGGCCCCTTACCTCACCACACACAGTACCAGCCAATCGACTCTTATACCCATTGTATATTGCTGGGCTACTTTGGAAACTTTACAAGAAGGTTGACTTTCAAGTCCAGAGTGCAAAGCATTACAATCATATTCTTGGTTCTTTCGGTAAAGTCACCACGTAGAAGGGAAATAAGAAAAAAATATAAAACAATAAAATTATCACGACGTTTCGATTGCAACACAAGCAATCATCATCAGGTGTGAAACCCACAGCAAGAACATTTTTATTTTCTTGCTGTAATTTTCTGTGGTTTTCACAACCTGATGATTGCTTGTGTTGCAATCGAAACGTCGTGAGAATTTTATTGTTTTATATTTGTATTATTTTATTGTTTACCTTCTACGTGACGTCTCGACTTAACAGTATAATAAGTTGTCACTGGCTAACACACGACACACACGCATGTGCTACTACATACGTGTGTACGCGCTGGTGCCGGTAGTGGTGCGGCTCCATAGCTCAGTGGTTAGAGCACTGGTCTAGTAAACCAGGGGTCGTGAGTTCAATTCTCACTGGAGCCTCGTTTCTTTTATTAGGATAGCTGTTATTGTCGCGTACGTTTATTTGCGTTAACATTTTTAATTTTTTTATTATTATTTAGGAACCCAGCGATTCGAGTTCGATTCCTCGCTCACGGGGGGGGGTTGGGGTGAACAACAGTGACGATTATCTTAAACTGGTTCTGAGTGGTGCGGTATGTAGACTCGGCCACTAGGGAGGAAACATGCGGCCAAGTGCGTGTCTTGTTTGTTGGTGACCCACCGGCCCGCCCTCGCCTTCAGTTTTAGTTCAGTTTCAGTTCATTTATTTTGGTATAGCAACCGCGCAACAAACAAAACAACAAAAACACGAACAAGAAAACACATCTTAAAGTGACTATGTGACTGTTCATAGGCGCTGCACCGCTAAACAGCACTTGCCCCCAAGACTCTGTTTAGGCGATAGGGGGGATCTTTGTCTTTGGTGCTGTGCGTGGTGGGGCGCGGTAGTTACTGGTGGTTATCGCGGTGCGATATAATCCTGGCCAACAACCGGCGACGAATATCTGAACTGGTCCTGGGCCTCCCCTAGGTCGACTCAGCCTCAAATGACGGTACCGAGACGGTGTGTGAAAATCGCTACTGGGGGAGACAAAGGCGGCCGGGCACGGCGCTGGCCATCCACCCGCCACGTGTGCACTCGCCCTAAAAGTCTGTTGGTTATACGGGGGAATCTTCTGTCTTGTGCATTGTGTAGCGTGCTGTGCAGTTCACAAAGACGCCAGACGATTGAGCACAAAGTAAAAAACGATGTTAAACATTTTACGTAAGTTTTCCAACGATCTTCAACGTGTATATATATTTCATTTTCAACGTCGCATGTTTCGGAGCGAACGCGATTTGACATATAAATGGGTGTGGGCAGCGATACGTATCACGTGGCTCCATAGCTCAGTGGTTAGAGCACTGGTCTAGTAAACCAGGGGTCGTGAGTTCAATTCTCACTGGAGCCTTAGGTATTTTTTATTTTAAAATAAATTTTATTGCAGATGTAGGTTTTTTTTAATCATGTTTTACGAGCTAGCAGGTTGCATACGCTTACGTTGGGCTTTACTGGAGAGGACCACGTTTGTATGAGATTTTAAGCGGTTTATAGCTGGAGGCTGATCCTGCACAATGATTGCGCAATCAACCTCTGGCTGATAACTTTTTGGAGACCGACATTAAAACACGTTTATTGTATTTTGATAGCATTTTTTTTTTACAAAAATAACATTAAACTATATTTGAGCCAATTGCTTTTCATTTTGTCCTTCAAGAGCATCATTAAAATGTACACTAATCACTTAACCCGTGTCAAATACTTGTGTTAATGTAATCTGCAAATGGGTAACTATTATACCTTAATCAATATTTATTTTTACTGGAGGAATCCGATTTTCTATAAAGCTCTTTTTCATTGAAAAAGGATGGTACGTCACCTTCCTTTGACTGATGAGCTAGGAGTTTTCTAAATACAAACCTGTCAACCCCCTTATCAGTGCCCACCTTATTTAAGACCAATTCAGACCTTATTGGTCACCCTGTGCCCTGAACATCTCAACGTTCATCCGACACAGTCCCATCACAAGAGAGAAACACAAATAGACTTACAGTATTTTTTTTGCCTGGATTGAAACGGCTGTACGCCGTATGGACTTGAAAACCGAATTTCCCTGTACAAGAATACAGGTCAAACCGTACGGGTTGACACGGTATGTCAATATGTGAACCGTCAGGTGCTGCAGCATAAAAAAAACCCCCATTGGCAACAAAGTAATTCTATGTTAGGGTGCTGACGTGTCCGCAGTGCACATTTACATTCGCCACCATGCAGGCTCATTGAACCATGCGCTGCTGGGCGTTGCTGCAGTGCATAGTTACACAGCATTGTGCAGTGTACAGCGTTTGTCATCAGCTGTTATATAATGATTTAGCAGGCTTGATCGTAGGAGTGGCTCCATAGCTCAGTGGTTAGAGCACTGGTCTTGTAAACCAGGGGTCGCGAGTTCAATTCTCGCTGGGGCCTAAATGTTTTTTGATCATCTACACGTTTTAGTCAATCGCCCCCAACGGTCGTCAGCGTAGTCATTGGAAACAAATGTTCCCGACTCGGTTTTTGTTGTTTTACGTTCTGGAGATCCGTATTGACACACTGAAGTCACATAGGTTTGTAGCGTCTCGAATCAGCAAGCCACTTAAATACTGCCAAGTGGGCTGGCCCCACACGAGACCAACGATATTTAAAAACTGTTTAATTTAACACTCGGTGAATGAAGTTCGTCACTAGCGTATTTGTTAACGGCTGCATGTGGCCTGTTGGCCAGGTTTGTGGTAAAAGCTAAAAGGGTTTTTGGTATTTATCAGTACAAATTAAGTTTTGCACCACTGGCAGTTTTGCACCACTGGCATCTGGCTTTTTTGGAGTGATGTAAAAAAAAATTCGACTTGGTAATGCTGGTCGAGACTTACGACAGAGTGCCAGCCAAAGGAGTGAACAGTCCTGAGAGGATGGTCCATGAAAGGTTGAAACGATGAGATCAGCTTCTGTGCAGGAGCTTGATGGATTGTTAAATCACATGATCGTGACAAATGGTAATGGCTTGGGGAGGTCTTCATCCAGCAGTGGAAAATAAATTAATGGTGACAATGATTAAGAAGGGCTTCCATCGACAGGTTTATTATAAATCCAAAACTTTTTAACTTTCACCAATAGTTTTGGCTTTCCTGTGTAACTTATTACTCTCTTGATTTAATCAACCATCACTCAGAATATGCGGCCAGTGATATCAGTTGCCACTTAAATTTGTCAACAGGTGGCACTGCTCAGCTTGTCTCCACCATGGATTTGTCAACTAATTGGTTGCTTCTTGTCCAACACAAACAGGTTTGGCTACACTTCAAAGACTACGCTGAGAGGCACTTGTCAGGCTAGGCTCCATAGCTCAGGGGTTAGAGCACTGGTCTTGTAAACCAGGGGTCGCGAGTTCAATTCTCGCTGGGGCCTTGTTTTGTTGCTTTTAATTAAAATTGTGCATTTAGCATAAATTAAAAGCTTTAAACTCCATTACATTAATCATTACAAGCACGGTAATAAATGAGTCCATAGGTGGAAGAAAACATCTCCATGCTGTCAGTCGTAGGGGGTTGTTTGACCAAACGTTACCGCCACTGGTCAGTGGAGGGTTAGTAAAAGGTGAAGACAGCACAGGATCGGTTCAACTATCACTCAGCATTGACGTCAGCCGCAGTCAGGAACCAAACCACGAGTGCCACACAGCTCCCTTCCGTTGTAGACTGAACGATATACTGATCATTTTTCACCTAAAATCTGTTGCATCAAAAGCCAGGTAAAATAATCACGTTTATTTTACAAACTCAGTGGATTTGGCAAAAAAAAATACATCCAAAGCTTAGCATTCATTCAGCAACAGCTGCTAAGAGCGTGACACAATGCAACTAGGTATAAATCAACATACTTTTTAAGCAGCGCCTGCATTTTATTCTGTAAAAATATAAAATCTACATTATAATTTGATTTAAATATCACTCAACATTCAACTCTACATCAATTCAGCAACTACGAATGAAACGTCATCATAATCACACAGTATATACAACTAGATATGCAACTGATTCTCAGCTGAAAATACATGAACAAAATGTAAACTTGCTGTAATTTCCAGTATTTAAATCAGCATTGGGCTCTAAAGTTGTTTCACAAGAAACTAATGCTGAAAAATGTGCCCACCGCTGCGTAAAATGAGTAAACTCGGGGTTCCGCACTCACCATCATCGCCAAAGATTTAAGAGCAAATATTCTCCGTCAGTCCCACTACTCCTTAACACCACTCAGTCCATGACCTCCAGTTACCCAGACATGATCCAATTCTAGGCAGAATGTCTGCCAGTCAATGAACAGTACCCACAAAACATCCACAGACCACCTACCACAACAATTTCATTGCATGGGAGATGACTGGCCGATATGCAAACTCAGAACCAGAGTTCCGAGTTTGCCGTGTAACTTATTACTGTCTTGATTTAATCAACCATCACTCAGAATATGCGGCCATTGATATCAGTTGGAGGGCCCAATACTCAAAATGTACCGCTAAACCCCAGTTCTTTGGTACCTTTGACTTCAACATCTATAACTTTTAAAATTCCCACTTTTGTTGTATTTCATCGACAGCGGGTGGTGTCGTGGAGGCCGCGGCCGTTGCCGGCACCGGCTCAACGCATGCCCAGCAGCTGCCGGCTCTTGAGCTGGGATTCCGCCTCGAGGTATCGCAGCTCGCGCGTGCGCATGTTCGCTGCCTGCAGGCGCTCGCGCAGGGCATCCCCACGTCCCACCGGTGCACGGCACGGCCCCGCCAGCGACACGACCGTTGCCGCCCCGACCGAAACCGTCGCACCCACCACCAGGCCGGTGTTCTCCTTGCTCTGTACGCCGTCTCCCACAAACTGCACCTTCTTGCGTGCGAAAGCAAACTCGCCGTCTGCCGGAACAAGGAGAGGAGGGGGGCGAGCGCTTCCGTGAGTTTGTAATCGGACACCCCTGATAGTGTTAGTTTGGTGCTTGTGGTTGTTTATTTGTGTGAATAAACATCAATCACTCGCGTCACCAGTTACCACGCGTGCAGTGTTTCGGCATTCCCCGTGATTCGACGAATTGCTACGTTTGGGGCGTTACGATTCCATCCAGGAGTGGATACTGTTCTTGCCTTGTTTGCAAAGTCTCATGGGATTGCATGTCTCCTGACTTTTCTCTCATTTGGTTGGTGTCATTTGTACCATTAGCCCAAGGGTAATGTGATACATTTTCTTCCCCCCCCCCTCTGAATTGTTACACGCTGAACAGTTATATATTCAGAGAATGGATTTGGCTCCGGGAGACCCAACTGAACACTTTATTTGTTACAGTCCAGTGTTGATAAAGCTCTTTTCTAATGAATTGTTGTGGAAGCATAAAAGCTTACACCATTGTGCAGTACGCCGACTGTAAGTTATGGTAAAACAACACATGTTAAGTGGTGGAAAAACACAAAATATACCTCAATGAAAGCAGTGTCAGTGCCTTTCATCAGTTCTGAATCGTATCGGGAAGGGTAAAACTGCATATAATATTGTCTTATACACACACATAGCCTTTGTGTATGAAATATTTACAACAGAGCCATATAAAAAAGGTAACAACTTGAAAGATTTATTAATCTGCAGTATTAAAAACGTCCGTTTTCATTTTAATGAGACATTCGCAAACGCAAAACGGCAACGCCAACTACGAAGTACAACCTTTATTAATAACAATAAATATCATTGTCACGTTTCCATGCCAGCCAAATTTGAGCAAGACCATGATTGCAGATGCAAAATCAACTTCGTATTTACACGTAACCATGCATTTTTGCGGCGCTCGCACGCGCTGAATAATTCATCACGAGCTGCCGTGCCGCTGCACCATAATTGGGCGTGTGGACAGGGCGAGTGTTGTTTGAAAGAACCAATTAAAGCCAGCACGACTCGTGGTGCGATGTGACCAGGACCACACACAACCCTGCTGCCTTTTGTCAATCCAGTATTGATATTGTCACATTCCACGAGATACTCACTTAGGGCCGAATTGATCTAGGACCAGTTAAGATATCATTCGTTCCCTAAGTTAGCTGTGGCAAGGAATTTAACTAAGCTCGTTGGGCATATTGCAGAGTGTGCACAGGACTGCATCACCGATCCCCACACACATAGACATAAAGACCCCCCCCTATTGGGGGCAAGTGAGCACCTATGAAGGCCGACGCTGCACACAAGGGGACGCTATGGTCAGCACCACATGCAAACACACACTCACGCGCGCATACACAAAATAAAGATTCCCCCGCATCGCCACACAAGGCAAGTGCTGTTGGCGAGCCCCGATGCTACCAAGCGCCTATTTGTGTATATTTATATATACTATTGGAGCAAGTGCTTTTAGCGAGCACCTATGAAGGCCGGTACGCCACATGAGGAGGGTGGGTATATATACACACACACACACACAAATAGTCGCTTGTCGGTGCAGCGCGAGCCATCACGCGAGGTTCATCCTGTAGCGGTCAGCGGTGGCCGCTCGCCACTGCCGCCTGGGCTGCGGGGGGCTGGTAGCGCACAAGCACCCGCAGTTACCTGGGTTCACGAGCTCGGCAAGCGCCGACCCCGGTGCCGGCACGCAGCAGCCCGGCGCATCCAGCTTCAGCTCCTCCATCCTGCGCGGCGACGGCACGAGTCGGGGTACAGCGGAGAGACCGCGCGTCAGAGCTGCGGTACCGGCATCGGATTTCCAGACCACAGCGGCCGGTTGCGTAAAAATGCCTTGGGCCATATTCACGTCTTGGTGAATGTTCCTTTTGGTCCAAGAGAAATGCTCCTGTATTTTTCCAAACTTTTCTCTTTTACAATTGTGCTAGTGGCATCACGTCATTAAACGGAGGGTCCATATGGTACTCTCAAGAAGCAATGCTTCACGCTGTACGTTAAACGTTACGTTTAAGTAGATATCATAGAACCGCTTCCGAGATCCTCTCAAGTTGCCCTCCATACCTATAAAACACTAAGAGGGCGGTTTGTTCACAACTGCCACAGGCTTCAGTCTCTCCATCTCCAGCTACCCACCTTTCAGGGTTCTGAAAGGTGTGAACGCGTTAAACCACTCAATCACACTCCTTTATTTAATCAAATCAGGAGGCCTTCGAGGTCATCCCTTGCATGTGAAACCTGGGTTGACAAAAATTCGTGAACGCGCAGTCGTGTTGAAAGGAAACAGTTGCGAGTCAATTTCCCAGTCTGAAATCAGACCTGAGGCATGGGAATGGCGTATGATTGTGATCGCGAAGGATGTCATGCTTTATTTGATGTCCGCCTTTCCTACCTGGATAGTTTTTCGTCAGCCAGCCTTTCCCTCAGACACAGTTCCTTTTCCCGTTCTATGAAAAACAAACAAACTTACAAGTGGAAAATAATGAAGTTGGGATAAATCCCAACTCACAGGTAGAACATTTCCTCGAGTATTCTTTTACCAACAGGAGCATCAGGTGACAGTTTGACATAGCAGCCGGTTCTGTAGTGTAATTTCCCGAAAGTATAAACGCATGGATGCAAGGAGAGGTGTCAAGCCAGATATGGCAATGACCTCAGGTTATTAAGGGAATTAACTGGATCCAGGGTTAAATTTTGGTTCATGAATCACCGCCTTCGTCGTCCAAACTGTAATGTTCCATTTCTATTGTCGTTTTCTTTGTAAGACATGAAATGACTCGCTCATTAGTTCCATTGACCTGCACGTCACACTTGCATGCAATCTCTGCATGGATTGTAAATATTTCATTATTACGCGCGCTACTGAATATAGACTCCATTCCACGTGTAAACATCTATTTAAATGGATTGATCGTTACATGCCGAATGATGACACAATCATCAATTAAAAGGCCATCAAAAAGTCCACGCATTTACCACACAACCATCATCAGAAGCAATAGCGAGTAATGCCAGATAAATGACATCAATTAATTAAAATCAATTCTATTTTTCATGACATGCATCAGCCAATACCATCCCTACCCTTGCTACCAGACCATCACTATCTAGGTGCTTTCGCATTTATATGCTTCGTAAATACAATTTCCAGCGCATTTTTACAACTGTAAAATCCCTTTGTTATCGCTCTGTAAAAACCATTTGCTATGGGGCTACTGAGCCGATTCGCGGAGGAAGCTGAAACGGACTGGCTCACGTTCCAACCGCTCCTCCCGCTCGCGCAGGGCTTGCTCCTTGGCCTGGAGCTGCTCCTCCTTGCGACGGAGATCTGCCACCAAGCCCTCCTCCGCAGAGGGGCTACCGCCAGAGCGTCGCTCCGTGGTGGGGACCCCGCGCGGCTTCTCGGGCGCCGCCCGCGCCTGCTCTTCGTCCAGCACCTCCGCCAGGAGGCCGTACTGCATGATCTGCTCGATGGATGGCCGCAGGTAGTCCTGTGGTCGCACGCACGTGAACACGTGCGCATTCATTCTACGTCGATCCAGACTCGTAACTGTTAGAATGCTATCCCGCCCCACCGTCCCCCCCCCAACCAACTGTCGCCGCAAAGAAGTGTCCACTGACCTTTGCTCCTACAATGGGAGCAAACTTTCAAAGCTATGCATCTCATCTGTTTTGTCAAGACAGTAATCTGGCGCGAGGTCGGATTACAACGTGGACAATGATCCAGTTCCATCCATCGCAGCCTCGCCGCTTGCTTTTCCCTTCTGGGCAACACGGTCCCCTCGACGTGCGAGATGCACCTTCAGGTTGAGCATCTTGGAAATAATTTCGTTCAGCTCGTCCGAGTAGCGGTAGGGGATCCTCCTGAACTTCCCTTCCTTGATCTTCTCCGCCAGCTGCTTCTGGTTCATGGCCGTGAACGGGGGCCTGGGGGCGACAGGAAGCTGTATCTGTGGTGGCGTTGCGGCATTGCCAACTTTGCTGTTTAGATCAATAAAGATAATCCATTCCAAGGTGCAATACATCACATGTTTTCATTATTTCAATTGTGCTATCGGCATCATGTAATGAGAAAAAAAGAATCAATTTGGAAATCTTACACAAAGCAGTCCATGCCCTCATGGTAGGTTCCAGTCCCTGGAAAGTGGCATCACATAACTACGTTCGAGATCCCTTCAATGGTCTCTTGTCCACACTCGGGTGGCTGCACCTCCTAAAGCCTGCCCCTCTCGCAGAGGTGTCCGTCGCATGGCAAAGCAAAAATGTTGTGTTTCTCGGACGGATGGAAAAATACAAAATCAAGCAAAAATCTCAATTTTATTTAGTATTATGCAGTCATTGATGACCAGGACGAGACCATCACCTCCATAAAATCTAGAAGCTGGATTAATCATGGGTGGTGAACTCAGATTACAACCCAGTATCTCAAGTGCCAAATCAGTGCTCTGACAGGTAATGGAATCTCTGAGCAACCTAGCGACGTTTGAGGCCTGACTTAAAACCAGCCAAAGACACGCATGACTCAAGTTCTCATGAAACAATGTTTGGCTTCAACGCTGCACTTGTGGTGGTCGATTTCTCATGCAATTGGCAGCCTGCACACTGTACTCACACCAGCGCGCAGAGCTCGTAGAGCAGGCAGCCCAGCGACCAGATGTCAGACTTCTCATTGTACGACATGCGGCTGAACTGCTCCTGCAACGATACAATCCCACGTGCACCGTCGATGGATGGAGGGGGCCGGTGGGGCAGCCCACGGAATCCTTCGTTAGGATTTCCGACTCTGACAAACTCCGAGCAGGTTTGCGACTAGTCAATTAATATTGACTATCGCATCCAGCCGGGTTGGCTACGTAAGGTGTGAAAGAGGTTCAACATACATATTATTAATTCCTACGGCCATGGTATCAGTAACTGAATTGTGGGGGTAAGAATCAATCATTTTCTAGTCATGCAAACTCATGCTATTTTTAAAAGAATAATGGATTACATGAACTAGACCGAACAAACGAGACCGAGCAAGACATTTACGGTGACATTCGTCAAATGAAAAGGGCAATCAAGATGCAACGAGACAAAGCAAATGAGGCAATACAAGGAAAACTACCGTATTTTCCCACGTATAACCCGCGGGGTATACCACTTTTTACACACAAAACAAGACCCTGCGGGGTATATGGAGGTGCGGGCTATCCCAAAAATATTTTACACGTGTGATATGTCATGACTCGTTTAAAAATTTTCATGGTAGGACTAGCCACTATGCAACACTTACCTTTGACTAAAGCACTGCTGAATAAACCACTCACACTAAAATTGCACATGTTATCACGTTTTAAATAAATTGTTTGTACAATTAAACGACAATGTTTGAAGTGCGCGCACTGGGGGGTGGGGCAGCTGGGAGGAGAGAGAGGTGGGGGGGGTTGGTGGCTAGGCAACGGCGTTACCGGAGTGCCGCTATTATCTGCGCAGTGCGCAATCTGCCAGTGCTAAAACTGTACTTATCTACCAGTTATGTGTTACTTATTCATTGGATATTTACTTTTGTTACTTATTTACTGTTTTAAGTTCATTCGTTTCCGGTTAGTTTGTTTTCTATGTGCATGTTACGATTTTAACGTTAACAATTGATAGTGGAATGTATTACAAATGTAAACTTCGTATTAATATGATGGAATTAAGCTGCGGTAACGACGTTAAATATATGAATGCATGCGGGGTATATGGAGGTGCGGGCTATCTGAAATTTGTTTTACACAAAACGCTATTTTTGCGGGGTATATGCATCTGCGGGTTATATGCGTATGCGGGCTATATGCGGGAAAATACGGTAATTCTTCAATCGAAGCGTGAATGTGAATCGTGACTATGATTCGTGGAGAGAGTGAATTGCCACACACCCGTCAAACACGGCATTGAGTCAAGCGCGATGGTGGTTAGTGGCCGTTAGCCGTACCGGCGACATGTAATAGGGCGTTCCCACAAACGTCTTGGCGAAGCTGGTGTCATGCTGTAGGATGCGCGCTAGCCCAAAGTCTCCGAGCTTCACGTTGTGCCGTGCGTCCAGGAACACATTGGCCGGCTTGAGGTCGCGGTGCAGCACCGTGCGCCCGCCGGCCGTGCGCCGGTGGCACTCGCGAAGCGCCAGCACAAGCTGCGCCAGCACCCGCAGGACAAACTCCTCCTCCAGGAAACGCCTGCACGGCAGCATTTGAACGGGGACGTCAAGGGTGACAACACGGTTTAGCGATAGGTAAAAAAAAAGACTCACTAAGTGCATCGGCCAGTTGACAAAGCCATTGTGATTAGATTCTGTCCATCTCCCTGAAGTGTCTTCATTTCCCCTTCTGCTATCGTGCCATCTAAATTCCATTCTTGCCTGTGACTTTCCACCAAGCACTCCCTGCTCTAAACAATCCCTCTCTTCTTTAAACTCTCCAGATGCACGTGCCTGCGATTTGAACATCGATCATGAGACGCGATCGCATTTAAGACGCTTTATAAATCCAAGACGTGATTGAAATGTAAAAAACCTCCCGCGAGGCCATGGCAAAAGAATAACATCGGCAGCTATATATAGAGTAGGGCAATTTGAGATGTGAAAGCAGGCTCTGCCGACTCTTGGCGATAGGCTTGTACCGAGTCTCTCCCCCAGTGACTTGAACTGTCGCGGTCCGCCGGCACGTCTCAATTCAAGAATCCATTCCTTTGTCTCTTTTTTGCTGTCCCGTTAATTTGTATCGATCCCTCTTTCTTATTTGTTCGTTTGGATAGTTTTATTTGTTCCATTAGGCTAAATGAAATTACAAAGCAACACAACGAGTCAAGCTGGGGCAATCAAATAAATACAGCTAGGCATGTAACTATTACCCACCTAACAATAATTCCTTTCAATAAAACAATAAAAAATTTTTACTACATTTTGTTTCCATCAAGTTCCGTCTCATTTGCATCCATTATCCTTCGGACGTTTGAATATCATTTGCCTATAGGTTACAAATAGATAAAACAGTGGGTTTTTACTCGCGCGATTTTATGCATGTATTATGAGCAAAATTATCGATCGTAATAATCTGAGAATCGTTATTGCCTACTTGGTGAGAACCAAACAAGTGGGGCCTCCATCTTGATTTTGGGGACTAAAGTTGTCACACGTTGGTGAGCAAGCGTCCGAGTGAGCGTGCCTGTCACGACGGCAGCGGGAGATGAGGCTGGCAAGGTCCCCGCACTCGCAGTACTCCATGACGATGTAGAGCGTGGTATTGCTGCGGTCGATAATGCGGTCAAAGTAGCGCACAATGTTGGGGTGCTTGAGCTCGCGAAGGAGGTTCACCTCCGACACCAGCATCTGCTTCTCGGGTTCTGACATGGTGCCGTAATCCAGCACCTTCCACACCAGCACCTGCCAGACGGGTGGATGGTAGTGGTGGTGAGCATGCCCAGAATCCTCGATCAAAATAAGGCGGCCAAGACAAATAGTTAACGGAGCCTGAGTTCTCACAGAATAATCGTGGCGAACCAACAGCCCATGTCATGTGGCTCCTGGATAAATGAGACCTACCATTTTGAAACAGCCTGAAAAACAATATTTAGCATGTATGTAAATTTAACTTTTTTCGCACCATACGTAGCCAACCATGCTGAAGCTAAAACATTTTCAAACTGGCAACAATGATGATTTGAAGCTTTCGTGACTGCAGGAATCCATACTCTTTGGTTCTTTCGGTAAAGTCATGTGACTTTACCGAAAGAACCAAAGAGTATGGCAACAATGAGTTTCTAAATATAGCCTGCTCAGCCTCTTCTGTTACTGCAAGCACCTCCTACGGTCAAATAGGCGACTGAAGTGTGCGCAAATGTGCGCTTGTCGGTCAAACTTATTTGAAAGTCCCATACGTAGGGATTTTTACTGTACTGTCAAGAAAACAAATCTGCTATGATACTGCTTCTGGCAATGGCTAAGGCAGTTTTTTTTTCTCCCACTTAACGATCCTTCAAAGTTGTATAAGGGCATGCTGTCACACAGCCATGCTGTAGGAATACAAAATGCGTTTTCCCCCCATTCATCTCAAATTCCAAAACTAAAAAAAAAACACGATTAATTTAATTACCATCTAGCAGTGGATTGAGAATAACTGTCAATAATCGCGATTTCCAGCAACATTAATTCAAAATAATTATATAAGCAATCAGGTTACACGTCATTGTTTTCTTCTTGTTACCATGAGAACGTTGTAAGCGGAGATGCATGCTCATCTTAACAAAACGACCTGGTTACTGCAACAATACCTTTAGAAGAGTACAGTATTGTAATCATGGCATTTATTTTATTCAGTAAGGCCACACTGAGATTCAAGACTCCGTAGGCTTCGTGTGGGAGAAAACCGGGAGGAACCCCACAACGCAAACTCAAAACTCTGCAAAAAAAAAAACGGGTTTCATTAATCCACTTTCTGTACTGCCATATTCCGGCCACCTCGCAGCGCAAACAGCTTCTTTGGAGATTCACAAATCTCTGCGTGAGCAGTCAACCCTGGGACTCCCAAGCGCCGCTTTGGGGTGGCGCGCACAGCAACCACCACACGCCTAAATTTCGATTTAAAGCTTTCGTGACTGCAAGGATTCATCTTCTTTGGTTCTTTCGGTAAAGTCACGTAGAATGAGAATGAAATAATAAAATAAAACAATAAAATTCTCACAACGTGAGAATTTTATTGTTTTTTCTCACAACGTGAGAATTTTATTCTCACAACGTGAGAATTTGGAGCTCTGTCGTCCCGACAGTTTTTTTTGTTCCTTCACCTGAAGAAGGCCGCTTGTGTTGTGGCCGAAACGTCGTGAGAATTTCATTGTTTTATTTTATTATATTATTCTATATTCTACTTGACTTTACCGAAAGAACCAAAGAAGAACACCACACGCCTGGCTGCTGAACATTTTGTCCGGTTCAAGTTGGCACTGCGGTAGTTCACGGCGTGGTCCGGTGGGGGGCGGGGAAAGCTTTCGTCCAGCACCGGATTTACAAAAGGTGAGCGCTTTATTAATTTATTTTCGGTATTTAATTGCTAACGGCGCTGCAGGTTTATTTGCGTTTGACACACACGCAGCCAGCCATTCGAGTGGGAGTTTCAAATACTTGGGCAGACAGGTGAGCCGCTTGGGGGCAAAGTTGGTTCCCTTTGGTGCAACGATTCTTCACACCTTTTATGTCAAACTTGCACCCCCGTTGGGTTCTCAATCGTGTAAAAAAAACAATTATGTTAATACATTTGCGTAGGTTTGATGAAACAAAGTAGTGCTTATTTCGAGTTTCGATGATTTACTATTCTAAAAAAAAATCTGGCCGTGTCTCGCACCCCCGTGTTCAGAACCACTGGTTTAGGGGGAGCAACTGAATAAGTAATATTTTTTAAAACTTTTTTTTTAAAACACGCTTTTATTAAATGTACCGTACTAGTAATGGAATAGCTCCACGACACCAGGAAGTGGGCCCCGAAGCTTACCACAACGTAAGGGGCCCGTGGGCAATTTTACAGCCAACGTCAGTTGAGCGTGGACAATTAGACGCAAGCCGAAACATAACATGTAGAAAAGGTTTAAAAATATATTGTTTATTTTTATGCTAGAATATAGTATTGTCATCAGTGTGACATAAGTATACCAAGTTTCGCAGTCGATACCACATTGGGAAAGTGGGTTAAAATTGAGTTACAAGATTTCAGGATACAACAACAGACAGCGAGTTAAATAAAAGCGTGTAAAAATAAAAAACCACTGGACATAGACCCACCTTGGCTGCATTGTTTATCATTTCATGGGAATGCGGAATTCCCACCACTGCCTAATGAGAATGGTGCCTGCCAAAGTGTTAATTTGAGCAAGGATGTACTTTGAATGATACTTATTTTTGAGACCGATCTTTCAATACATTACTTAAGTGCAATACTACATCACTTAAACAAAATCAAGTTTGCCGAGCACAGGAATAAACAGTACTATTGAATGTGTAATACTAATCCGTACGTTTCTGGAATTAAGTAAACTCATAGGCGCTTGGGGAAAGAGGTGGAAGGGAATTCCGAATGCCGGGGTAGTTGACATGTCACGTTGCAATCGTCATCACAAGCAATAATCAATCCACTGCTGGATGAAGACCTCGACACCGCCGTCGCCATCTCACTCACGGTCTTGCGACACTTTGCAACGCACAGACTCCACTACTCATAAACGGTCCACCGCGGTTGTTGACAACCATTAGGTATTGGCCTTTGAATTGTGTACAAGTGGAACAATTAAATACTGAACGAACCCGTCTCACCTTGCCGTCCGACTTGCGCCGGATCTTCTGACACTCGCCGTAGGAGCCCGTGCCGATGGTGTACATCACTTCATACTCGTCCAGCTGCGACGGCATTGTAGTCTCGCTCTCTCTTCTCGATAATCCCAAATAAAATGGTATTCAATAACCCCCCCCGCCGCCGCCGCCCACCTACGGGCTCAGGTGTAAAGACGTGAAACACTTTAACTACTGGCTGTTGGGTGATAGTAATGAGGGTCCGGGTTAAGCTTCATACCGTGGAGGTTAAAGACGGAAGAAACTTGATGAAATAATTTAGATCTGCCCTCGCCAAAACCTAGAAACTGAGAACCCTTCGGGGACCGAGCCTGGTCTAGACACGCACCGCAACGGGTTGCTGAAGTTACTGCATGCAACCAGCTTCGCGGCTTTACCCTTCAGGATGAAAACAAACAAAACAGAGCGCTTATTTACGAGCGACCGTTAAACGTCTACTCAGACGAGACAACCGCCACAAATACCCGAGGAAATTTAACGAGATACGTGAGTTATAATGAGAACGGGGGCGAGCTCGTAACGACCGAGTATTCAGCAGCGCGTCGGGTTGAAGCGCCACCTCGCTCGCTCCCTCCCGCCGGCCCCGACTCCACGTGCGTGCAATTTCAAATCCCGCCTCCCGACAAGGCCACCCCTCTGATTGGCCGACGGGGGCTTAGCACGTGACGAGCTTGCCGGGCCACCCTCAACCCCGCCCCCCCTCTATTGGCTGTCGCCACTTGACAACAAACGGTCGCTGCCGGGTTCGCGCGCGCCCCCCCGCCCCCGTCAAACAACGCGGCCCCCCCCCCCGATCCCAACCGTCGCCTTTAGTGACGCGGCCTCCACGGCACCCATCTTGGGTAGGGGGCATGAACCTCCCCTCCATTGGCTGTCACCACTTGACAACAAACGGTTGCTACCGGGTTCCGCCCCCCTCGCCAAACAAAGCGGCCCCCACCCCTCGATCCCAACCGTCGCCTTCAGTGACGCAAATTCTCTGGCAGCCATCTTGGGTAAGGGGCGTCACACTCCCCATTGGCTATCACGCCGCTGCCCCCGCCAAACAAAGCGCCCCTCGCACCCCCCCCCTCCCGATCCCAACCGTCGCCTTCAGTGACGCGATCTCCACAGCAGCCATCTTTGGTAGGGGAACGACCCCCCACCACCTAACCCAGTATTATGGACCCCCCTCTCCCCCCCCCATAGACTTGTCTGGGGTGACATCACGACGAAATAATAGTCCTCTACCATGTGAGACTAGGCTCTAAAGAAAGCTGTCTCTGGTGCGTTGTGGCCGAAACGTCGTGAGAATTTTATTGTGTTATTTTATTACTTTATTCTCATTCTACGTGACTTTACCGAAAGAACCAAAGAAGATGAATCCTTGCAGTCACGAAAGCTTTAAATCGAAATTTAATGCATATATTATCAGAGTATGTTTTTTGTTTCCATTCTCACCACAAGTATTGTGGCTAATGCAGACATGATGCTTTGTAAAAGGGTTCAGTTTGGCGTTTTAACATCTTAACACAACTGTTTTGTTGCCAGAAAAAAAGGGGGAAAACCTGTTCTCATATTTTGGTACTGGCAAAGGAGGTCCCATGATGAAAACAGGATGTGTTAAGATGTTCGAACGCCAAATTGAAGCATTTTGCAAGGAATCAAGTCTGCATAAACCACACACAGTACTTGTGGTGGACATGCAAGCAAATATATGCATTGTCTTTGAAACGGATTGGTCTACACGACTACACCAGAAACAGCCTTCTTTATGCAACAGATATATATAAAGGTAAGCAATAGATTTAAAGGTAAGCAATATATTTAAAGGTATGCAATAGATATAAAGGCAAGCAATAGATTTAAAGTTATGCAATAGATGTATATAAAAGTATGCGATAGATATAGGTATACAATAGCTATAAAGGTATGCAATAGATATACACAAAACACTGAACTCTGACGCCAACGGTCTATTGCCAACAAACTGCAACTTGAATCACTACCTATGAGATCTTCACTCAAAACTGCTCTAGAGGAGTTGTACAACCCTAGCTGCCACTGCTATTCAGTGGCCTAAATTATGGCCCTAGATTTTGGTGTTATAATTTATTTATGTAGTTTATTGTAAAAAATTCGGTCACAGTCTCTATGATCACTGTTACATTGCATTTATGGCTTTTATTTTGGTGATTTCGAAAAGTTTTTTTTTGTTTTGGCCATGTTTTTGTTTATTGTAGTACGGAGTTAGACTGATGGCCTTAATCTTAGTTGTCTTGTGGTTGTTGTTGTTTGACTTGCATCCCACTGGGATTTTTGCACACAGCGTTGGTGTACGGTGCTATTTCAGGAATATTTTGATATTTTTTTCCTGTATTTTATGTTTGCACAGCCACAAAATCACTTTAAGATGTTTTCTTGTTCATGTTTTTTTGTTTGTTGCGGTTGCACCCGATTCAAGAGCCGAATGGCTCACAAGGCTATACCAAATAAATGAAACTATGAACTATGAACGTAGGGCAGTGTGGTGGTAGGGGTGAGGCTATCCTCACCCAACATGGCCACCGGCGTGTCGATGACGTTGCCCGGTGGTGGCGGCGGCGGGGGAAGAGGAAGAAGACCCTGCGAGTCGGGAGGCGAACTGGCTGCGGTGAAGCCGATGGTGGGAGTAGGAGGAGGAGGAAGAAGAAGAAGAGGAGACGAAGGAGGAGGGGGTGTGAGGCGACATGGACGCGATCTTTCACGAGAAGGTGCGACCCGTTGGGTGGAATATATATTTTAAATGGTTGGGTGTTTTTTGTTTTGGGCCCCCCACCACCACCACCACGGTAATTCGCGGGGCCAAGCCCCGCCAAAGCGGCCTCCTCACACCCTCCTCCTCACCCCCCACTCCCCCGCGAAAGAGCGGACATTGCGGCGGGAAAGGCAGCCGTGGTGGTTGAGGTGGAAGAGGAGGAGAAGGATGATGATGAGGAGGAGGAGGAAGGGGGGGTGAGGGAGGGAGACCCGGTTCGCATCCCGGCCTCCTCACCTCAACCTCGTCGCTTAGTTTCCCTCCCAAGTCTCACGCGGTATTCAAGAGTGAGCGACTTGGAACCCGCTGTGGCGGCACCGCACATTGTCGTCGCCACTGTGGCTTTACAAACACGGCGTGTGGCCTTGTGGCAGACTGTTGGGGCAAGTGTTGCTAGCGGGTAGCAAACCTACGAAGCCTCCCCCCGGTTCGCCCGTCCGGCCGGCCGGCACACGCGGGGTGCCTGGTGGCCAGCACCGTGCCCGGCCCCGATGGGGATTCCCCACCCCCCCCTAACACATACACACAATTCTGCAGGTCATGAACATTATATTTTTCCCTATATCGATGTCATTACAATAGCGATGTATCACATCTAATCGTGCGAGAGATGGGTTTGCATTAATTGGCTGTGATAATCGTCTTAATTTGGCCCCCGGGGGTTGTGTTGTTTTTTGTTTTTTTTATTTCTTGCGAAACTTGGTGACGCGGTGTTTGTGTGTTGTTTTTGTTGTTTTCAGTGTTTGTGTTTTGAGAGATGCCCCGTGTGCCGCCTGTTACGCGTCACCCCACCTGTGTTGCGTGCTTATTACGTGGGTCGTGTAGTAAGCGTCTGTGTTGTGTTGCGCTACAACAGCCGGTGACACCGAGTTCACGATTCCCGTCCACGACCACCAAACAAACCCAGTGACGATTATCTGAACCGGTCCTGGGCCTCCCCCCCCCTAGGTAGACTCGGCCTCAAATGAGCACCTGGTACGATGCGTATAAAGTCGCCACTGGGGGAGACAAAGGCGGCCGGGCGTGGCGTTGGCCACCCACCCCCCTCGTGTGCCACAGTGCCGGCAACCTTCATAGGTGCTGCTTGCTAACAGCACTTGCCCCTACAGTCTGTTACAAGCTTATACGTGTGTGTGGGGGATCTTTATGTCGTTTTTTGTGTTGTGTGTTTATGTATTTTGTGATGTACTTGTGACGTTTTGTATATTATTGATGTGTTTGGCGGTTACAAACTGTGATGTCTTCGTGTTACGTATTGTTTGTGATGTCTGTGTGTTGTATGCCGTTTGTGTGCTGTTTTGTATTGCGTGATGCGAGTGTTATGTAATGTTTGTTTATTGTGTCGTGTGATCTTTGTGTATTGTGTTGTCTTTTGTGTGACGGATGGGTGTGGGGAGGGGTTGAATCGTGTCAGCCGGGAGAGAGTTCCTCTTGCTTTGTCGACAATTTGCCAGTGCCATCAGCTCTTTAAACGGCTGTGTTAAATGATGCTTGCACGTTATAGATAGACTGTAATGGAAATGCAAATTAGTTTCTATGTATAGTAACCTGTTTATTTATTTTGTGAAGCTTCATTAAAGGCAGACAAGTTCTACATTACATTCCATGAGTGTGCACACACACCTCAAGGACTATGTTTGGTCATTTTTCCTCGCCCGTGACAATAATGTAATTAGTCAACAATTCGAAGTACAGTTTATAATTGTATTTACGTAATGGTGAGGTTTACAGTAAAACGACACGTAAGTTCGTGTTTGTGCTATATTTTAAGGGTGGTGGCGTAAAGTATGGGTACTTGCACTTCGTTAAAGGTGTCTGGGCAGCGTGGAAGAGTAGGCCAAATACCCTTCGAGGAGGGGCTGTCTAGAGCTCCCTGGAGTGGCGTGAGAAAGTAATAGTAGGGCCGCAGCTTTGTATCTTGTTTTAATTATCGAAATGGTATTGAGACCGAAAGAAGAACACACATGCAGGTTTAAAAGGGCTTAATTTGGACTTCAGATAATAAGTAAGCGGGCCTTGGGCAGGACACGTCCCTAGAAAGGATGAGTTGAGGGCTGATGGTCGAGACTAATGACAGAGTGGCAGCCAGAGGAGAAAACACGTCCGAGAGGACATCCACTGTGGATCGTGCCGAGGTGCTCGGTAGGATGTAAAATTTCCGGACAGTGAGACACGGTAACGTCGTGGGAACTCGTTCATCAAGCAGTGGATTGATCGCGCCTGATGATGTGTTAAAAAAAAGAAACCCCCACATTGTAATGAAAAGCTGCGGTGTTTAATTCAGGTCACCTTGCATAATAGACTAATTGGTTCATTAAGTTGTCATCCTGAGTTACCAGTGAAGGAAATTTGTTGATTGTTGCCTGACGTCTGGTTCTTGTCAGGGGCGCTTCCTCATTGCACTTTGAGCCTGATCCTCCGGTTGAACTGACACCCGGAAATAAAAAAAAAACCCAGTGTTTCCCCTGAATTTATTATATTCCACTCATTTGTTACACATGTACAGCCCTTTGTCAATACTGCTGACCAATTCACCCAGCATGTATGCAGTCTCATCACATCTCAGAAGCTCAGGCGGGTGGTGACTGGATAGTAATTGTTTGGGTGACGCGTTGCAATTAAATGTTTAAGCTGTGAGGCTGCGTGGCGGGCCGTGAAAAGGTAAAGGTACCACAGTAGCGAGATGTTAACTACCTCGCCTGGTATACAGGAGGTTGTGGGTTCGATCCCGACCCTGACGCATGTATATTTGGAGTTTGCACGTTCTCCCCCTGGTTGTGTGTTTTTTTCTCCGGGTACTCCGGTTTCTCCCTCCACATTTAGAAACGTGCATTTAGAGTATTTGGCTGCTATAAATTTCCACGTGATAAGCCACTTAGTTGAGCAATCATTTGTGATAGCCAGGTCGCTTTTGAAAAGAGCTATATTGCTCAGTGGGTCTAACCTGGTAAAATAAAAATAAACTTTTTTTATAGTTTACTACAGCCCTGAAATTGCTTGTGCATACCCCTGCTGGCAGAATGGTCTCTACTAAAGGAAGCACTACATTGGTATTTGGCCTATTCTTCCACACGCTGCAGACGTCTTTGAAGGAGTGGGAGTACCCACACTTTACCCCACCAGACACTACCTGCCGATCACCATTTGTGGAGTTCCCGATGTTATACTACTTGGTATCAGAAACTTGTCCTTTGTTTCAATTGTCACACCTAGAGATTTAACGAGTGACCCCTGGATTGCACATAACTCGAAATAATTGGATTTATAACTCGTGTGCTCACCATTACACTGTTCACCATTAATCAGATGAGCCTTCAACTTTGCTGATGAGGGAGAACTCTAAATATCACATACCTCACGAGGCTGACAATGCAGTGGGTGTTGAAATGAAGTTGGATACAGACGATTAAAAGTGCCTTCCTGATTTTCATTGTTTTTCATTAGATTCAGATTGTCTGTTTGGCAATTGACATGTCTGGGAAATGCACACGTTTCTGGTCAAGCTGTGATGTGCCCAACTATTAATTAAATCCTTACACGTGAGAAATAGTCTAAAGTGTGAGAGATCAATTATATTCTTGTTGAAACCCACAAGTGTGTTGGAATAGCTTAGACCAGGTTTGTTGCAGTGGTTGTGAGAGCCCGTGGTACTTTTGCATTGCAACTCCCAAATTACAAAATTGGATTGATGTTTTTATAGTATTCCTGGAAAAAGAGACACTTGGTCTTGATGGGCTCTTATTTGGTCACAGATGAAAGTTATGTATCCATATTTACGGATAATACGTCATTTTCAACCCTTGATAATCCACAGCTGAATGACGCCTCACCAATTCAGTGAATGTGGGTTGGTGACAAGGGCAGTGATGAGGACAGATTTATATTTCAATTCGCTACTGGTGTTAGTGACCAGGAATGGAACTCAGATTGCCAGGTTCATAACAGTGCTGAGTTCAGAGCAACCCCCCCCCCCTGCCGCCATCATATTGTTAGACATGATCAATATACTACTGGATGACAGCCTCCCTACGCTATCCTCAACCGTCATGGTCCCTCTAATATAACAGTCCCCTAAGTACCTACACATGAGCTGAATTCAGGAGTTCATGTGCTGCATGTACTATCGCTGCACCACTGTACAATGCGTGCCCTGACCTCCTGCCACTTTTCCCTCGTATCTGCGGTTTCTAGCAAGAGGGCTCGCTGTGCGCCCAGCACTGCCTCAACTCACTGCTGCAGGGCCCTTACTTCACCGCTGTGGACCTGTCCACGCTTGCCGTGCAGCTGGACGAGGCTGAGCGCCTGCGCATGGCCGAGGGGGGAATCACGTCACAGGAGTATCAGCGTTTCATGGAGGTAGGGAGTTGCTGGGCGATGCGAGCGTTACCGCATTCCTAGTGATGTAGTGTTTAATAACCATGAAACAATTTATTCCATGGGTCCGTGATTCTATTGAACAATTTTGAATTTAGTTCTTCTATTTTTACTCTGCTAAGTTACAGCGGCGTGCGAATGACATCGCCAAATTGATGCTGTATTAAACGTGTGGAAGCAATGTCACTAAAGTGCCAAGGGGAGATGCCTGATTGTGTCCTAAATTTCTATGTTCTCATTAATGAAGCTTCCAATTTCTGTTAGACAGCCCGGGTCACACAGACTAGTTACGTTTACAAGATAAGAGCTGTCTAATGTGTTTTCAGATTGTACCTTTCATTGTTTTGGCATGATGTCCTACATTACGCGATGCAGTAAAACCAGAAAACACATTGGAAGCACAACCGAAAAAAACTACACAGTGATAACATAAGAGATGTTTATTTTTTGGGTTGCATCCTCGTATAAATTACATTTAAACATGTTTTTATTATGTTCGTATGTTGAACTTCTTTTGCACGTTACATAGCTAACCGTGCTGATCATAATTGAATTGATTGAATTACGTGTTAAATTGTTGTCTGTGTTACGCGTTTACTTTTTTCGATCATGCAGCAACCGTCAGGAAACATGGACGACAGTGGGTTTTTTTCCATACAGGTGAGACTTAAGACAATTAATGACAAATCCAGTCAATTACAAAAACAGTGAGCGGCAGCGATGGCGCATTGTTTAGCGCATTGCGCAAAATGAATCGAGTGACCAGAGTGTAAATCCTGGCCACAGCTGTCGTCATTGGCGAGTGATGTCCGAAACGATTCTGGATCCCCTCTTGACCAATCTGCCCTGAGCAGCATGGTGAAATATGGTCATACAACCTCCATGACTAACACAGCATGGGGAGGCCTTCAGCTAGCAGTTGAATGGCAAAATTATTCAAATTATTTCTATGCAGTAGTATTTATAGCCTTTGACAATCACCTCGAATATTCTCCCCGATCTCGTAAGAACGCAGACGCTAAGCTGGCTTGACGCTGGATTGTGCTTGGATGGGTGATCAGCACGCAGGTCTTGTAGACTGCTGTGGGGTTACATTGTGGAATGAAGAGGGTAGTGCAGCAATATCTATTGTATTGCTAATGCTACAATGCCTATGGTTCCCACCTCCACCAACGTCTGTTCAAATAACCCCCATGGCCTGCATGGTGTGGCAAGGCCCTCAACCAGCAGTGGATTGACAAAGGGGTTGCAAATGTACCACAGTAGTATGCTGGTGCTGTTGTATATTGTTCTAAGAGTACATGTTGTCGTGTGTGACAGTGGCCATATACTCATTGAATGCTCCTTTTGCTCCATTCGCTGAGTCGCTTCAGGTCTAAAGTCGTTGAGCCACGTTAGGGAGACTCCCACTGCTGGATCCTCACCTTGCCTCCTTCCTCACCCACCCACTCGACTCTCCCTGCCTCAGCACTCACCGCCTTCATGTCCTTGTCGAGATGCCATTTGCCCGTAACGCGCGTGTAATTGCCGCTGTCCTCGCTGCAGGTGATTAACAGCGCTCTGGGAGTATGGGGGCTGGAAATGGCGCCCGTGAATGCACGGCACTTCCAGCGGTCGCACATCGAATTGCTGTGAGTCTTCCTGCTCCTGAGCGAATCGCCCGTGCCCATCACGTGCCACTGGATGCAGTCATGGGCGGCCGGTGATGGGTGCTGTGAACAGCAAAGCTGAAAAGTGAACATAAAGAAGATCCAGGAGATGGGGTTAGGAGTAGGATTATGGGCAGTGGGAGGTCTAGTACTAGTGGCTGGTTGGATTGTTTTGTTCGGGTTAGGGCCTGTGGGAGAGATAATATCAGTTGCTTGTTGGTTACAGCCTGTCGGAGGTGTAGTGCTAGTTGTTGGTTTGATAGCTGTTTAGGGGTAGTGCTATTCTTTCCTTGGGTAATTGGTTAGAATTTCGACCTGTAGGAGGGCAAGTACTCATAGGTTAACTCACTGGTTATGGTTAGGACTAGTTCAAATAACTGGTTATATAGTTGGTTAGCGTTAAGATCAATGAGAGCAATAGTACTTGTGGTCAGTTGTTTATTTCACTGGGGCTAGGGATAGAGACTGTGTGGTTGACGAGTGTGTGCCACTACAAACTTTTTGTCCCCTCCTCCTGATTGCGATGTATGGCCTTTTAGCACATTTCACACGAACCTTTACAGTGTCTGTCTAGTGTTTATGATGTTTGCAGCTCTGTCATGTGTCCGTCTTGTGTCTTGCAGGAAGGAAATGGCGTTCATCTGCAATTACAAAGAGCACTGGCTCACGGTCCGGAAGCTGGGAAACCAGGTAATGTGCACTCATAACTTGACATTAAAGCATTGTATGTCATAATTACATGCCTGCTTGTAACTTTAAAGTCTCTATTTATCATTAACGAAGCCTCAATCTTGCATCTGTTAGCCCAGGACACACAACCTAGGTACTTTTCTACAAGATGAGCCATTTGATTTTGGGGTTGGGTTTAGGGTATTTGGCTGCTATAAATTTCCACATGATTAGCCACTTCGTTGAACTATAATTTGTGGCCAGGTCGCTTCTGAAAAAGAGCTATAGAGCTCAGTGGGTCTTACCTGGTAAAAAAACCTAATTTTTAGTTTATCAAGGCAACCAAATATTTAGCATCGCAGTCACATGAGAGTATTGCAATCATTTCCAACAGCACAGCCACGTGCAGCAGCACAACCGGTTGCATAAATTGTAACCGCACGCAGAAGCACAATCAGGTGCAGCAAGTGCAACCGCATATAGCCACACATCCACGTATAGCAAATTCCTTTAAGCCATCTGTTCTCAACCCGTGGGGTGTGAAAACCTTTGAGGGGTGCGAAATCTGCGAAATCGATACCATGCAAGGGAAGGTTTGAATTTGCACTGAGAATATCAGGGCTACGTTGCGACGACAAAACATTTATACACAGCATGAGACATGCCTTAAAACCGAGGGTGGGGATAGGGGGGGAATGTGGGAACCCGTCGTCTTGATTGGGGGAAGACTACGTAAAAAAGGATGAGAACCTCTGCGTTCAGCACACACTGTGAGATACGTTGTTACTGCTGTAGCGAGAAGACCAAAGTGTTGACCAATGCTTGGTGCCCCATGCCCTTCTCTGCCGACAGTGGTTCAACCTGAACTCGCTGCTGTCAGGCCCTGAGCTGATCTCCGACACCTACCTATCGCTGTTCCTGGCACAGCTGCAACAGGAGGGTGAGGGCGTGCGTAATGCAGTAAAACTCTCCTTATCTGTATTGATGTGGGGGGTGCTATTGGCCGATCCTATTATTTGTGCTTGTCTGTGAAAGTATTTCCAAATATTCATACGGTTACCCATGGTTAAATGCAGTGAATTTCCTGCTTTATCCAGGTGACTATTTTTATCGGTGATAAACACTTCCAGGAGACCCCTTTTCGGTCACTTCTGTTACCATGAGTATAAACACAGATAATATAAAGATTCCATGGGCGGAGAACAGGAAGCAGCTGTGCAAGGTGCTCGTGTGGCACAGGTCAGAGCGCTGGATTTGGAGCTGTTGAGGTCCTGGGTTTGGATCCAGGGGACCCGCCTATCATTAAACTGAGTTCTCAAGTGTAGCAAGTCTATGGTCTCATTCCAGTCACCAATGATTGCAAAAAAAAAGATCACCTTAAAATAGTTTCTCACTTAATCCAGCTAAATTCCAGTTGCTTTGTCATGTGACAAACATTACTCGCTACAGCAGGGCAGGTGGGAATGTGCTTCCCCCTACTCTGGACCAGAGGTGTTGTGGAAGGATCTCAGAGGTAGCTCTGATCGCTGCTCCTGTGAGCTGTTCTCTAGCACGTAGGGTTGCACTGCTGTGCGAGAGATTCAGTTCGATAGGTCATCTCGTGACACGATTCCGACAGCACGGTGGTGACATAACTGAAAAAAGTACAAAAAAATTGTTCGGGCTTGCAAGTTTCACAGAAAAGACGCGGCGTCTAAAAATCTGAACACATGGGCCACCTATTTAGGCCTCTCAGCAGCAGTAATGTCATGATTTATGGTGCGTCTAAAGACTGGCTTAATTTAGAGAACCACGTCATACACAAAGGGTTGCACTTCTCTGCTATGAGATTGAAATGGATACTTTGTCTCATTACGTGACACCAGTAGCGCGATCGAGATAAAATTGTGGGAAAGCATGAAATTCAAGTGACTACATGCACAAACGACTGCTTCGTCTGCGTTACGCGCGTGCGTGTACGAGCGCAGGCTATGCGATATTCGCGGTGCGCGGATCCTTCCCGGAGTGCGAGGCGGACCAACTGCTGCGGCTCATGCCGGCCGTGCAGAACGAGCGGCCCCGGCTGCTGAGCGAACTGGCGGCGTCCGGGAGCGGCAGGAGGGCGGCGGAGTCGCACAGGCAAATTCACAGCGGCAAAGCGAAATGAGATCACACACAGCAAAAGCTAAATGTGACGGCATCCGGTTAGCCACACAAACTGCGCGTTGAAATGCAGTCACAACCGGGTGCAGAAATGCAACCGTATGCAGAATTGCAATGGGTATGCAACAACGCAATAGCATGCATGCAACAACGCAATAGAGTTGCTGCAAAACAGTTAACATCTCGCCACCAGGGCACCACGGTGAAGAGATGTTCGCTACCTCGTCTAGTATACATCAGGTCCTGGGTCGATCCCGACCCTGACATCTGGATATTTGGAGTTTGCATGTTCTCCCTGTGGTCGCGTGGATTTTTCTACGGGTCCTCCGGTTTTTCCCTCCACATCTAGAAACATTCATGCATTTAGATTATTTGACTATTATTTATGGCCAGGTCGATTCTGAAAAAGTGCTGTAGAGCTCAGTGGACCATACTTACCTGGTAAAAAAAAAGAGTTTTTACTTTATCAAGGCAACCAAATATTTAGCAACTCAGTCACATGAGAGCTATGCAATCATGTCCGACAGCACAACCGTGTGTAGGAGCGCAATCAGGTGCAGCAGCACAACTGCATATAGCCACACATCCACGTAGAGCAAATGCATCAGCACTAAGATATGCAGCTGCATAGGCAACACAACCGCAGTCCACAGTCAACTGTGTGCAGCAATGACACTGGATGCAGGAAAACAAGCAGGTTTGCAGGTATTGGGAAGGCAGAGTGAATTGCTGAACTAACATTTATTTGGGGGGGGGGGCGGGGATATTCCCCCATAATGTGTTGTGTCCGGTACATTAATTTCGTCATGGTAAATAATTATTAACTGTTACAAAATTTATCTCTTTCAATCGGTATAACTGCCCAAAGCCGTGATGGAGAAATCTAGTGGGGTGGCTGACAAGAAATCAGGACATTGGATGTGTCTTAATTGTGCTAATGTAAGTGGATTTTAATTTATTGCTTAATAAGTGGTGCTGTTGGCAAAAAGTGGGCTGGTGGGGTGGGGAACCTGTCTTGCATATTATAAATTCTCACTGTCGTTGGGCCAAGCGGTGAGTCATGGTTATTGTCAATCCCACGCACGCATCAGCATTTAATGAGCGCAGCTGCAAAGGAATGGAAACACTTCTCCTGCCGTTCGCTCGTTAATAACGGCACGATCAATATCGAGAGCCGTTTGATTCCAGTGCCAGAGTTGGGAGGGCAACCCCATGGGTGGAGTTTGAACGTTTTCTTCCGCATTAAATTATCCCGGCTGCCAGGTGGGGCTTTGGCCCGGCGGGAAGAGGAGCTGGTCTGAGCATCACACCACACATAATGCGACTGCTCGGAACCCTGGGGTTGGTGGATCGCCCAAGGAGGGGCGAAGCGTCTCGGCAAGGAGACACAAAAAGCACGAAAATGCAAAAACAGGAAATAAAGTGAGCTCGTATTGTTTATCTTTGTGCCTCTAGGAAAAGGGTGTCTTCATTCTATCTTGCTTGTCCTTTTACACAATCATCTCCAGTGTCTGCTTCCCAGGGACCAGCTGTCTGGGGAGAGCTCTCAACAGCGCCTCCTGTCGTGCCTTTACCGAGCTCCTAAGCAGCGACGCCCTCACTTTTATCCCCACGCATGTGGGCCCGCGTTTCCCCGCATGACTCCGCGTGTCATTTCCATCGTTTGTCGCGGGGGGGAGTGCAGCGACCTGGAGCAGGCGATGGCCGACAGCCAGGCGCACCCGGGCGGGCCGTCGGGGGCGGCCGAGTCGGAGAGCACGGAGGAGCGCGAAAATCTGCGTCGGGCGCTGGAGATGAGCCAGCAGCAGATGGACGAGGAGGACGAGCAGGCGGACCTGCGCCGCGCCATCCAGCTCAGCATGCAGGGCGCCTCGCGCCACCACGCGCTGCTGCCAGGCACGTCCCCGGGAAGAAGCGCAAAGGCGCCGTAATAATTCACCACCGGGCGTATATTTTTTCCTCCATCTGCGATTTATCGAAGTGTCACATATTTGTGGTTGCATGTCAATTCAAGAATTGATCATTTGTTATCAATTTTGTACCGTCTTGTTCGTGTCAGCTGTTTTGTATGTTATGGATTGTTCTGTGTCGTTTGTTCCGTTTGTCTAAATCTTTCTTTGTCATATCATTTGTATCGATCGTAAATAATTGCTTTTAGCAAGCGGGGTTCCACGTACATGTTGGAGGTGTGGATACTAATCAATCGATGGATCGTTGTTTGCAGCGTCAAGACTCGTCCTAATCTATTGGGATGTTTAGCCAGTTATTATTTTTACTGGTTTTTTTGCTTCGTGTGGGAGGAAACCAGAGGATCCAGAGGAAACTCGCCACACATACGAGGTGATAACTCTTAAAAGCTCTCCACAGATGGGTTCACAACCAACTTGCTGTCCCGGCATCTTGAGTGTTTTGGAGATTTTGCAAAGCTTGCATCCTGAACTCGATTGCAGGCGTGTGCCACCACCCCCAGATAACGAGTCCGTTAGTGGGCACACGCGGTACGGTTTATTAAAAATGTAATGATTTGCCTCCCTTCTAGGTCGTGATTTATTGTGGTGAGTTGAGCACCCCTGGTGGCTGCTGAGGTCACACAAACCAAGTACGTAAGAGTTTAACAGGTCCCTAGCCCGTGATTTAACCAGAAGTGCCCTGTTGTCGCTGAACGACTGGGAAGGCCCATGTCCAGCTGAGTAGGAGACCGTTGCTGGATTGTAATGGTGTGAAATGGTGCTGGATTGTAATGGTGTGCTTCGTGATCATCCTCAGACCCCAGGGCAGAGGGGGTCCCGCCAAGGCCAGCCCCGTTAGCTGAGCCAGAGGCCCTTGATGCTGAGGAGCTGCGTAGGAAGCGCCAGATGTTCTTCGAAAAGTACGAGTCACTGTGCACGCTTTGGCCTTCACCACTGACCTACTTCCTACCACTGTAGTCTAAAACTAAAATAATATGAAAATTGTGCATATGCATGGGTTCTGTACACTTCTCAACATGCGTTGTTGTCTTTGGAAGTTTTTCTTTAGAAATAATGTTACGTTTTAAGCCACTCAACGAGGTGATGACTTGTCATCTCTCAATTTGGCCGGTTTTCTTTAGGGTAATTCCTTTATAGGAACACAACTATATCTTAAAGTTTTGTTCACATTAGATCATCTTCATGAGAGTTATTGTGTCCGCCTGTTTTAGATGCAGACAGAGCAAGTTAATGCATTAATCCAACCGGCGTTGCAGCCTGCGCTGTACCACTGGTTGTCAGCCTTTGATGGCCTGTTAAGCGACCAGCATTGTTCTGTTAATTTTTTTTTACTATACATTTATTTCCGGTTACGTTCCAGTTGTGCTATTGGCATCACATCATTATACGAATTGGAACTGAAATGTTTAACCCTGGGAGCCAGAATAAAGCAAAAAACATTAAAAAAACAATTGTGACGCAACGGGTCTGTTTGTGCGGCCCTTGGCGACGGGTCTGAGACCAACAACGACGTTTTTTGTGTAGATAGTATTGTTGAGGCAGCACGCATTCTGGAAGCATTACCTGATAAGCGCCGTTTAGTTAAACCAGCAGGGGGGGGTGGTGGCAAGGGACTGAACCTTTTTCATTCATTCATTGATTTTACACGAGCGTATTTGTATTCGTTGGATTGCCACTTCCCCCCCCCCCGCGTCCTCTTGTGGCTGCACTCTATCAGGCAGCAGCAGCAGCAGCAAAAGGAGGAATCGGAGGGATCGATGACTCCGGATCTGTGTGCCGAGGGCAGCCTTGCCTCCTCGTCATCACCCGAAGAGGAGCCTCGTGCTCCGCAGCACGGCAAGCCAGGTACGGGTGATGCCAGCATGGCCACCTGATACCCCCTGCCTACCTGCTCATCTGCCTGCCCACCTGCCCATCTGTCTACTCACCCGTCTACCCGTCCGACCGCTTGCCCCTCCGCGTGCTCATGTGCAGCATCGCTCCCCCGCGCCTCCCTCTCCGCTGTCCTGTTTCGATCGTTTCATCTCGAGTGTCTGCTTTGCAGGAGCGTGCGCACAAACAACTGGAAAACTTCATCATTGGACATCCTTTGCCAGCACCAAAATATAATAATAGGGGTTTTCCCCTTTTTTCTGGCAACAAAACTGAAACTTTTTTTTTACAAGGATTCATGTCTGCATTAACCACAATACTTGCAGACAAAATACAAACAAAAAACACACTGATAATATATGCATTGTCCTTGAAACTTAGTTTCAGGGCAGCCTTGCCTCCTCGAAACTTAGTTTTAAGGACAATGCATATATTATCAGAGTGTGTCTTTTGTTTGCATTTTGACTGCAAGTATTGTGGTTAATGCAGACATGAATCCTTGTAAAAAAAATGTTTCAGTTTGTTGCCAGAAAAAAGGGGAAAACCCCTATTATTATTATTAAACTGGAAAACTATCGTAGGACTTGTGTGTAGGCAGCTGTTCCCTTCGGCGTGAGTAGAAACCCCCATCCCACATCTCCCTTGCGTTTGTGGTGTTGCGCTTTCTGCTGCACGAAGAAGCCGGCTTAATTTCTGGCTACTCACTCGCTCGTTGGCGTGTTCATTTGTTTGTTGTTTATTTTTCATTTGAAAAATCCTGTTTTGCTTTAGAAGCTTAAACAGAAGGCCCTGTAATGGTTTGTCGAATATTCTTTTAAAATGAATTTTGATGCTTCCAATAATACATCGAATTGTGTGTATTGAGAGTTGACTATGAGCTTTTCATGTATTGTCTTTGTTTGGACATGGAAATCACAGAGGTTGAATCTTGAATTGTGATCAGAAATGATGCACTTCACCAAATAATAGGTTACTGGTGGATCGTTCTATATTTTTGTATGTACATAATAATTCAGGGTCTGCGGCTGGCACATTAGAGGCTCTGTATGCCTTTCCACCGTCAATGATAACAACTGTGTCCAATACCTCTTGAATACAGAGACATCTCTGCATGCATTATTATTGAGTCACAACAGGGCATCGCCTTGAATACAGCTAGGCATGGAATGATCAAGATGGGAAACAATGTAAATTCTGGAATCATCTTTTTTTGACTAGCTTTGATTTGTTTTGCTCCATTAACCTTAAGGATAACGTTTGTTTTTAAATTGCATAACATTCGCACACATCCTAAATTATTTATTCTTATGCGGACACCGTGCTGCATGTATCACGAGCACAGGAGTCGGTTTTAATCGATGCATTCTTACATATATATCTATACAGCGTACGTTTAAATAAAATGAATACAGTTTAAATACATTTTTCGTACAAAAGAAAAAGGGCACTGGCTCGGAGGGGAGGTCTGTGAATGGGGGTCTCTCTTGCCGCAATCGACATAAAAGCGTGCGGAGCTCCATCCTCGAATCGGGCGCAGGTGTAAGGCTGGAAGCACAGACAGCGGGAGGTGTTTAATGGGATCGGAGGTGCAATTCGTTGGTAACTACAGTCGCGGTGCCGCTCGGTGTGTATTGAAATCCATACAATCTGTCAGCTCGTTTGCAGACCTTTGTACACGCACGAACAGCGAGATATCCATTTGATGCCATTGATCTGATGTGTTTGTATTATGCGTGTAAATATGCTTTCTAACAAAAATAATATATAAATGCACCTGCTGATGCGTGTATGTGTGCGGTGTCATGTCTGCATTGCATATACATGATGTGATTAACAGAGGACATGAATGTGGGGCACTTATTAGGGCCACCCTGATGAAAGCCGTTTTTGTGAAATGTATAATTTTTCTTCCTCTGCACGATGAACATTGTACCCTCACTAAAAATAGCACACTGCCAAGTGCGCACAAGCATGGCACTGTGTACACAGGAATAATCACAATTTAAATATTAATGAGCATTGGTCATTTTAATTCTAATTGATTTCCAAGGCCACTTAAAATGTAAATTTTAAGTTTGGTGATCCGTGGTACAAATGTTTCCCCCGTAACTATCGCGACCACGTAACTGTATTGTCCACCTCCGAGTGTCACTAATTATCGTTTGCTATTTATACAATTTTTGTACAGCCTGGCAGTACCCACAAGCATGACTGTTAGGATTATTCTCTGGATGCCCACCAGGTTGGGAAAATAAATATTAATTTGGAAGGTTGCCCCGTCACTGATAGGCCTCTTATCCCTACAAAAGTGTGTGTGACTCTTCTTTGCTCAGTTTATTTTTTTATTTGGCTGACCAGAGGCTGCTGGTGTGTTAACCAGCTCCTCTTTTGTTATTTCCTTCCCTTTCTGTTATGTATAATAGGGCTTGTCCCCAGGGGTAGGCCCTAGGGTCTGGCAGATCACTGTGGTTTGTGCCAACTGTTTGGGAACTAAACGCCACATGTCCTCTTGCCCTGCGTGATGGACCCTTGCCATCGGTCACATGACAGGCCTGGTAGGAGTGTCACGCACGCAAGGCGGCCCGTTCCTCGGCCAGGGGTCCACCCCCAATGCCTCTGGTGGTCTCGTCTGGCATGAGTCCCCGATGTTGCCGGTGGTCCAGTTGGGTGGCACAGCTGCAGTACGGCCCTTCGGTCACTGTGAGTTGGAAGCAGCTTCTCGGGCAGGCTGGACCAGTGGGAGTCAGAGGAGGCAATGGCCGAAGTTGCTCCTGTACCCTCAGGCCTGTGGCCCAGGAGAAATCCAGCAGCGACGTCCTAGCATTCTAGAGCCCTGGCTATTGTCTGAGGAGACCTGCTGACAACTGCCCCCTGAGCCCAGGGGTGAGGCAGCGGTCTGGGGAGCCTGGTCGGTGGTACCTAACAGTTCTTTCTTGTGGTTGCTGCAAAAATCCATCTTTACATAAGTACTAAATATTGTATTATTGTGTGTGTATATTAAAAAAAAATCATTTTGTACGTTGCTGGCGTTTTGTCGTTTTCACCCAGAGTTGTGTCCGTCTTTGCAAATTGGCCCCGGGTCAAAAGAGCGCACGTGTGTGTGTGTGTGCCCCACGTGACTTGCCCCCGTCATCCCCCCCCACCGCTGCCGTCGAGTGTTGGCACGTTTTGCCATCTCTCCGCAGTGGACCAGATGACAGAGGAGGAGATGCTGGCGGTGGCTCTCCGGCTGTCGCTAGAGGCACGCACGAGCAACGGTGGCGATGACAGCAACGGGGGCAGCGGTGGTGGTGGCGGCAGTGTTCCCCCTGTGCACTGACCTGTGACAGTGCCGCTTGGCCAGGTGCAGACCAACCCCTGCACCGCCCACACCGGTATTCACTTGCCAAACGGCGCCTACCCCCGCGCCCCTACCCTCCGACATTCTCCCGTGTTCCGTCCTCACTGCGTGGGGGTTGGGATCACCCCCTGTTGGGCAGTGTTGCGATTCAATGCAAAGTCTGGTCACATAAGCGACGACGATGTCTTGTGAGTGTTACATGGGAACCCTGTGTTGCTATTTTTGATGGAACAAGAATAATCGGACTGGAGCAACATCCAGAGGTGTTTATACGAGTAAGTGTCCATTGCTTGCCTGCACATAACAAAAAATACATAATGTGTAAACTGTACCGGGTGTTTCTAACGAATGTCATCTCGTTTTTGGATGTTAATGTTAACCAAGAGGGGTTTCTTTGACCGGCTGTGAATATCGGCAGTGGTGAGCACATTACCTGCGAATGCCAAGCTGTCTTATTTTATTTTCCTCTTTTGTAACTTATATAGTTTGGTGTGGGGTGAGGGTGCTCAGCAGTTGTGCTGTGTTAAGAGTGAGCGGGCAAGTGCAATTTAGCGAAGCAGCGCCATCATTACAGGTTACGCCTCTCTAGTCCAGTGTTTGCCAGCCTACTACCGCTAAATGTTCCCGCATACACCACGGACCCTCAGTATGGTGGATGTTTTAAGATATATGAATATCACATTCTTTTCCATAGTCCTTGCTGTTCTTACATCGGGCAGTTCTCCATGCCTTTTTAAATTTCCATCCTTTGGACTCTTTGCATAGATTTTATTCCAGTTTGTCACCAGGGTAGAAACTTGCTTTCATTTGCCTCTTGGGGGAAGGTGTTTTGACTGCTGGTTGTTGTACGAGGGAGCTCCGAGTCTCGTTGCTGGCTTAATTTGACATTGAAACAAAAAACACTTAACTATGGCTTAATATTGATACTGCACCTCCCACGCAGTAAATCTTTGAGGTGGCCTGTGGCAGTCGAGCAAATGGGGGTACCGCCTTGACAGCTATCCCTGTGCGGCACAATGTGAACGCAGCCTGTAATTGGCCTGCCAGTAGAGGGCGATGTTCCGATGTGTCTTTTTCCCAAGAATGTAATTTGCAAATACAGTAAAACCTTGGATTGCGAGCATAATTCGTTCCGGAAACGTGTTTGTAATCCAAAGCACTCGTATATCAGTTGTGATCACGTGACGCTCGGCAGACAAGGCGTATACGTGCTGCTCGTATTGCAAGACCTCGCTCGTTTATCAAATAAATATTTATTTAAAAATTTGCTCGTCTTGCAAAACACTCGCAGACCAAGTTACTCGCAATCCAAGGTTTTACTGTAATTTCGTAAAAATATGCTAAAAATTGCACACATGGCTTACACTTCCACTGTGAGGCAGAAGGTGCGTAATGAATGGTTAATATAGCCACGATATTAAACAGGGGGGCTCTTTGGGCTCAATCCGTGAACGTCTGCAACAAGGGAAAAACGCGCTGTCGCTGGGCCGCTGTGTTTTAAATCATTTTTTGCACCAACCTGAATTTGGAATCTAAAGCTTAAAATAAGTTCCAAGGACAGATCATATTTCTTACTTACTTGCGTGGAACACACCTTCCACAATAAGTGTTTTTAAGTGCGAGCATCGTTTGAGAGCACGGGGAATGTTTCGTCAAACTGCAGTCACTTCTGATGCCAAACCAAGCAAATGTGTAATTGTCAAAAACTACATGCAAAATAGTATGACAAAGACCAAAATGAATAACCAAGGTAAAGGGAAGTGCTATCAACATAATGAAATATACAAAAATCCTTTCACATTTACCAATATAAATCCAAAATAGACGAGAATATAATTTATTTTTGGCATAATGCCATTTTATACATAAAAGTCTGTCTCAAGAGTATAATAGAGGGTCCTCGTGGAATGTTTGGCCAATTCCGTTCATGTTTGGCATGCGGGAGGAAATCAAGAGTACACAGAGAACACCTACCTTGTACAGAGGTAACACTCAAAGCTCTGTACAGATAGATGTATTAATCTATTGCTGCACTGCCATCTCCTGGCCATCTCGCAGGCCAAGCCTACAACACCTGGTATTCTCAAGCAGCCTCCCAATTACTAACTGTTCTCATTCCAGCTTAGCTTGTGATGTGACAGGATCAGCTTGTGAGATTCGATGAGATTTGATTGGAGGCATTTACAGGAGCCTGTTACCCCTCGATCCCCGTTGTTGGTGCTGCCCACATCAGGGCGTTTGAGATGCTACTCATGTCCTGAGGGGAAAGCCTGGCTGGGGAAGGGCGGCAAGGCAAGTTGATAGTTGGTGCGTGTGAGGGTCTCATCGTGTCCCCGTGCGACCTCGCCAAGCGAGACCCGGTATTTCTTTCCTAAGGATAATCTGTTCCATTCCATCATCTCGCTCTCCACTCAATTTTGTACGTCGCCTTTCCAGCTCTTGGACCAAACTTCCATATTTTAAGTTTCCAAAGTATTTTTTTGTTAATTGCTGCGCACCTATCAGGGGTGTGAATCCGTAATTCTCCCCACTCCACATTCCAGGGAGTGTTGGTGCCGCGTTGAATGTCGGCAAGGTCTGCGCGAGTCTCTGCCGCAGATGAATGTGAAGCGTGTGCGGTTTCCTCGAGTGTAGAGAATACTCCGTTGCGTGTGACCTAGCGAAGTAATGGAGGCAACCGGGCAGCGCTGAGAGACGGCAACTATTTTACACTGTAAGGTCCGACCACGCGGACTGCGTTATCGGCTCACCTGAGCAGGTCGTGAAACCGATGCGCACGCTGGTACTGGAAATCGCTGTTGCCCCACGCAAACCGTCCAGCCAGCGGTGGTTCTGTCAGCAGTTTTATTTATCGGTTATTGTCTCGGTCTTGCCTGAACCATTGCGTCCGCATGGCTGGAAGGGCCTCCTTCGGTTTTAGAATTATTGAGGGACCTTTCCGTTTGTCATAATTTTGTTTTATTTCGTTTGATTTTGACGTCTTGTCGTACAAATGGGCTCAGTGCTTTAAAGCGGTGTGGTGTGTTTTTACTTTACAATTCGGCTCAGCTGTGCTGTGCATGATTGTGTTGAAATGTCTCAGCAATAAATAAAATACTAAAAACCCTGGCCTGGTTGATGCAACCAAAAGCGAGCACTTGGCGCAATGTGTGTGTGAAAGTCAGAATTGGGGAGACAAAGGTGGCCAGGATTGCGCGGAGTGCTGCTGCCCACATCCCCCCATCTTGTGCCGCGCCGCTGGCATTAAAAGGTGCTCGCAAATCGCATTTTCTCCGATTGCCTAGAAGGCTATACAGTAGGTGTGTAATGAGTCAGGGATTAAAATACATTCCAGTGGTCATGACAATCCATATAAGTGTCATATCAGTTATGTTGATGGTTTATGAAAGTTATTTGCAAACGTTACCATTGGGCTCGTGGAATGAAACAGACAAAACTAGACGAAACAAATGAGAAGAATGACACCACAAATAATGGATTCTTCCACCGGATCGTGGCAATTGATGTAATGGCGGTTTCAGGTATTGGGGGTGAATCCTCAGAAGCCTGAGCAGGAATCTCTGCGACCAGCCGAGAATGTTTTGCGTGTGCGTGTACAGACGTTTGCACGTGTGTGTCGGTGGTGGTACAGTATCTCGGGTGGTGCGGTTTTGTCAGGGACTCTCATCAATAATACATCGCCTCAGGGCGCAGCGGTAAGCGCTCCTTGCTGAGTGCTGCGCTAAATGGAGGCACCCTCGCTGCTCCCGAGTGTGCCGCTCCCTCCATCTCGGTCGGATGTGCTAAAAAAAAAACTGTCCACCAGGAAAAAGTTTAGAAGATGAAAATGAGAATACTCGGCTGGTTTTTGACGGTTGTGGTGTATAGCTTGAGGGGCCATCCATTTAGTACGTACGCATGGAGGGGGGAGCGGGGGGTTCACCCAAATGCATACGCTTGCGTATAGGGGGGTCTACTGACAATGTACACATAGGAAACGGGGTGGGGGGTGAAGCCTCGATAATTTGTCTTTTGCCTTCAAGCAAGTTTGCTTAAACACTTTAATAGTATTCATCCTTGATCGTTTCTGCGTGGATTAAATATCGGCCGTTCTATAGGATTCGGGGGGGGGGGGTGTAAAAAGTACGTGTGTGTACAGGGAGGGGTCAAGTTGTGACAGATTTTTGCGTACGTATTAAATGGATGGCCCCCTTACGATGTTTTTGAATTGTGCCGTGTTTGGCGTGATGTCTGGAGCGAAACATTGGAGATCTTTAAAGCACATTTGAGAGCTTTGATAATGTCTTTTTTTACTTGCCAATGATACACAGATCTGGGCATAGGTATTGCTAAGCGATACGTTACATTTTGTAGTAATTGGCTTGGTGTTTTTAATGTGAATATCCTCGGGAAGGAAGGACACATGGATCCCGTAGCCTTAAAAAGTCAAGATTAGGTGTAACTTGATCCCAATCTGCAAGGGTCTGTGACATATGGCTCACAAAGATTGCACACGCCGAATGAAAACACGCCGTAGTTTTATTTGTAATTCCACTTGGCTTGTTCAATGCTGTGTCGACGTGAGAAGCATGGTATTGAAGGGGTGCGTGGAGGCAGGGGCGTCCACAACTCTAAATTTGTCCTTAATTTCCTGTGTCAGGCTTCAAGTCAATATCACCACAACACGCTAATGTTCATC